CACCCAGCAGCCTCATTAGTAAGAACTGGACTCCAATGGCAAATGACTTTTCGTCCTGGTTCACCACCCTGCAGGGGAGAAGCCACGGGAGGTCAGAGCTCATATTTGGCCAGGCATCTTGGCCTGGTTGCACATCTAAGAGGCCATGTTGATCCCAGCATGGGGAACCCATCACATCATGCTTCCCCAGTGCCTTGTCACCCATCTCTGCCCACTGCTCACCGTAAAACCATCATGTAGAGGGGGTTGTGGGACAGGCAGGCTACCAGGGCAGCAAAGGAGATGAGGAATATGGCAGGAAGAAGCATGTGGGAGCAGCTGAGAGGACAGGAGCCTGTCTTGGCAGAGGACAGCCCATTCCCAGAAGGGATCTGTGAACAGTTCTTGTAGATCTGTTGGAAATGTTTGGAAAAAAAACAAACATGAAACTCCCAAAGCCAAGAGCAGGGTCTTGAGTGACACACCAGGCCACATCACTTTGCAGAAGACTGATGAGAGCGTCAGCTCTGATTTTAAGGCATGGCCATGACATTCTGCAATGGGATGTGCTGCCATCCCCATTTCTTCACCAGCCGGTCGAGGGAGGGGATTGTCCTGCTCTGCTCTGCACTGGTGCGGCCTCACCGCCAGTACTGGGGGCAGTTTTGGGTGCCACAGGATAAAAAGGATCTAAAGCTGCTGGAGAGTGTCCAGAGGAGGGACACTAAATTGGGGAAGGGTTTAGAGGGGAAGCTGTACAAGGAGAGGCTGAAGTCGCTTGGTTTGTTCAGCCTGGAGAAGAGGAGACTGAGAGGAGATCTCATCACGGTCTAGAACTTCCTCCCAAGGGGAAGAGGAGGGGCAGGCGCTGATCTCTTCTCTCTGGCCACCAACGCCAGGAGCAGAGGAAATGGCAGGAAGATGTGCCAGGGGAGGCTGAGGTTGGCCATGAGGAAAAGGTTCTTCAGGCAGAGGGTGGTGGAGCACTGGAACGGGCTCCCCAGGGAGGTGGTCATGGCACCAAGCCTGACAAGATTGCAGAAGCATTTGGCCAAGGCCCTCAGACACATGGTCTGAATGTTGGGGTTGTCCTGTGCAGGGACAGGAGCTGGACTCCATGATCCTGGTGGGTCCCTTCCAACTCACAATGTTCTATGACTCCCAGGGCGTTACAGCAATTCTCCATTGCACCTTCTCAGGACTTCAGCTCCTCTGGTAGACCTCCCTGCTCCCCATGTCAACAAGTTTCTACCACAGTTTTGCATTTCTCAGGTTCCTACAGCATCACTCCACTGTCACCAACGAGCAGAGTGTCCTCTGCTTTGCAAACCACCGGTTTTACTCACCACTTGTTTGGGAGTGGAAGAATTAGCAGTGCTGTTTGTGCAGCCAGCGAAGCAGGGGGAGATGTACTCCACGTTGTTTTCTCCACACACGGGGTGAAAGATGTGCTCAGAGCAGCGGCACCCACTCGGCGTCTTAACCTGCTGCTGGGAACTCAATGTACTGCCAAAAAAGAGGAGAAAAAAAATTTAAAATTTAGAAATAGGACAGGAGGAAGAAAAATCCCTCTTACTAGAGAACAAGTTTCCCCATTCCTCTTTGCGCTGGGATGCTGCCAGCAGCAGGCTGGCCTTCTGCCAGACCCTGATCCCCTGCAGGTACCTCTGCAAGTGTACAGTGAACTTTGCAGTAATTATGTTATGTCTGCAAACAAGTACTCACGTACTTTTTTTTTTTTTTTTTTTTTTTTTTAACCTCTCAGCTGAAAATTACTCCTCCAAATGCCTGGAGAAATGTATCTGGGCTCCATCCAGAACCGCACAAACAGATGTGTGAACAGCCTGAGCTGGAAACACCATTCAGACAGAAACTGGAAGCAGCCATGCTTCCAAACAAGCCTGATGACAGCATGAAGTCAAGAGGACAAACTGAATTATCTGTCCTGTCTTGCCTTACTACCTCAGGGATTTCATCTGCTGAAGTGGCACGGCCTGTCTCCTGTGGGAAGGGAGCATCATGGACCTGCCCTTGGGCATGGTGGGATGGGGCTGCTCCATCTCCTGCAGGAATCTAGCACCAGCGACCTGTGCCCTTGGACATGGTGGGATGGGGCAGAGCTCATGTTCACCCATCCATGTAGCCCACAGCTACCTGGGGATCCAGGCAAAAGCTCTTCCCCACTGCTGCTGTTGCATGGGGGGAGGTTTTGAAGGCAATATAAGGCCACAGTCTCCTATTTCATGCAAGTCCCTCTAGCAGCTCCCAGTTTCATCAGCAAGGCCCATCAAGACTGGTGTGTCTCAGCAGATCTGAGACAGGCAGTCAACCTGACACTGGTGTCAACAGGTGAACGCTCTGAGGCCAAGGTGCCTCCCAAAATTTAGCACTTATAGCACCTGATCTTGAGCTGAGGGATCTCCTCACATATGAAGCCTTGCTCTCACACAAAAAGCTTGAGATGCCAGTGCCTCAGTGGACTTCCATATGCTCCTGGATTCACGGTACATGCCGTGCAGATCTCAGAGCAAAGTATAAAAACATCACCCACATATGAGTTTGCAGAGTGCTGGTGCTTTCCTTCATTGTTATTTAAGTGATTTTTAAGTGGGAGAAGCACATGGACCACCTTGTCCCTCACCCCTCCACCGTGTCCCTGGGACAGGAGGCTTATTGCTGGCAAATTTGTACAAAAGCCCCTTGTTGGCAGTGCTTTAGGAAATGAGCAGGATGCACTTGACAGCAAGTCTGGGGTGGAATGTTATTTTTGTCTTAAGAATACATGGTAAAAGCCAAAAGTTTCCACCCAGGTGAGGAGAAAGGTGAAGTTCAGCTGGAACAAAGGAAACGCATGAAGATGCCCATGTGTGGGGTTGATGTGGACATGGGCACTAATGCTACTAATTTTCCCTTAGAATTCCAGAGTGAAAAATATACCCTGCTTGTCTGGTACAGAAAATTGGGAATAAATGTCCTCTCGAGCTTTCCATGCTGTGTAGTACTTAGATCTCCTCCAGGCAGTGGGATCAAGGAGAAGCAGTAGAGTGACTATGTCTACTGTCTCTTTATCCCACTCTATGGATAACTGGGTCAAGAGCTGGAGGAATAAAGAGCTGTAAACAACCCAAGTGCCCACATTACCTGGGGAGGTAGATCCCATCGATGTGCCCTGTGGAGCAGCCCATGAAGAAAAGGGGTAGGCAGATGAGGATGGAGAAAATAAGGACCACTACAGCAAACCGGGGGATGGCCCGGAGAGAGAAGGCAAAGCGTTTCATGATGATTCCTCCTAAGAGCATCCCGAGTGCTGCTGCTGGCAGGTTCACAGCTCCTGCAGAGGAATGAAGCCATTAGCTGAAGGTCCTGCCTGCCAAGCACCAATCTGCTGGCAGGGGGTGGAGGTGGTGGCTTTGTGGACCTTGTGGTGGTTGGGAGAACCCGTGGACCCCACCGTTACCCAAGACAGACCAAAACTCAAGGCAATTGGTACCTATGAGAAACCTCAGCCTCAGGAGTCTGACTTAGAGATGCAAGATCAAGCTTGGTACGTAATTGCTTGCTCTTGTCAACTTCTTTAAGCATCCAAGTGATCCAGACCTGCTTCACCCATGTGGTGGGGCTGCACATTTTCAATGAGAGCAGTTGCTGGCCCGCAAGAGTGAGCAAACAAATGCAGTCAGTCTCCGAGATGGCCTTCTGCAGCCACCTCAGGTCAGAGAAGTCATCAACCACCTCAGGGTGATCCCTAGGTCTCATCTGAAAATGAGTTTCCAGTGACTTTCTCCCATGGGATTAAAAACCCTGGGGCATATGGGCAGGTGGACCTCTGCTGATGGATATTTTTCACTCTGCAGCTGCCGTTGACCAACTCACCTATGAGAAAGTTGGCATAGGAGGAGGAGGCACCATACTGCTTCTCCAGGAACTTGTTGAGGAAAGTGGCCAGACCCGCAATGACTGAGGAGAAGCTGCACTGAGCCAACACCAGGAGGATGAAGAGGGGGTTGAGGAGCAGTCTGAGGAAGATCTTTGGGAATCCTACAGGGAAACAGCAGGAAAAGTGCATCTGAGCCGTGCAATCCTCATGTCAGCAATGCGTGCTGTGAAAAAAACCCCACCCTTACACTGTTCCCAGTGAGTTAATGCAGGAGATGTCTAAGGCCATGGGAAAATGGAAGGGGTGACACCCTAATTTGGCCAGGCAGCTATCAGGACCATGGCCAAAGTGCCCTGAGAAGCGAGGTGGAGGGCCAGCTCTGCCCACCACCCTCTCTCTCATGCTTTCCAAGCTCACAGCCTCCGGAGCGCTGAGCAGGCAGGGTGCGTTCGTTTTCCTGGAGCTGGGCCCGTACCTTTGGGCGGTGCAGATGGACAAAGCCGCAGGGGTTTTGGCAGAGCCCTACCGGCCACACACGGGCAGGGTCTGGCTCCTGCAGCTGATGAACACCATGTATTTTCCTGGTGGGACATCATGTCCCCTTGCCCTTTCAGCAGAGGCAGACTGACTCCAGGCTCCTCAGGAGCAGCTCTGTTTATTTGGTCTCTAATTAGCTTCCCCCTTCTAGCAGAGTGTGCCGTGGAGACCCAGCATTGTTCATCAAAGCCCAGTGAGACAGACTAGAGGGAGGGGACAATTCCAGAATATGATTGTGGTGGATGGAGAGGGAAGGAGTCGGGGGCATTAGCTGGAAAGAAGTAATCATGGAGCTAGAAGAAATCATTCAGCTGGTCTCTTTCATCAGTGACATCCCTACTCAAGTCCGTTTCAGCTACACATAAACATACCAATGTCAGCTGCGGAGCAGTGACCTTCTCAAAGAGGTGGCTGGTGGTGCTGGCAGTCCCCAGCCCTCTCCTGGAACCACCCAGCTAGCGCTTTCCAGCATGCTCATGCCATTTTAAGATCTTCAAACCAATTGTGCAGAAACAGTTCAGGCCCCACAGACCTCAGCACCACTGTCTTAGAGCAAGAGGGAGGTCATGTCCATCTTCCTGTGGTCACCTTGAGGTGCCTGAGATGGCCCTGGCATCTCCACACAACGTGGTGAAGAGACTCAAAGGCTCCCAACAAGCACCCTCAGCTTAAAAATGTTGGCGTGGTGGTCTCCACCCACCCAGCATGGCCCGGCACCCCTGTTATCTCTCATCTTTAAGTGCTAGTCCTTTACTTTTTATAAACTCCAGCAGGGACGTTTCTTCAGTCATCCCCTTCTCCATCTTCCTGAGCATGCCAGCCTCTGCGTTTGGGTCCTGGGGAGGGAGAGAAGAGCAGCCTGTGGTGAAAGGGGAGCACCCATGGGTGGCTGGCACTGTCCCAGCTCCCAGCAAGGCTCTGGAAGAGCAGGGTCTGTCCCAGATGTGTTTAACCCCCAGCCAAGCCTGATGGTTTTCCTGCCCATTTCCACCCAGCAAAGGGGTGGGAATTATCTCAAAAACCCCTGCAACCCTTGAGCTAAAGCTTGTCCTGCTTGCAGAGGTTCTAAGAGCTCAGAAAGCTTTCCTCTCCTGAACCCTGACACTATACTCCTTTTTGAGTTCTGCAAAAAGTCTGAAAATGGGAGGTGGAGACAGGTCAGCTCAAGTCTGGTGAGACCTCTAGCTATCATCATGAAATAGTTTGGGTTTGATTTTGACCTTTAAAGAATCAAGGATTAAATGATTTAAAAACAAAAAAATTTTTCAAACTAAACCAGCAGGGCTTGGCTTTGCAAACACTGAAAGGAAATGTTTTAATAATTTTGCACATTTTAAAATTAGTTTTAATGGGAAACTTGTCTCTTTTGTGCTCTTTTTTTCTACAAAGGAAAAGCCCATTTATCAAACCCCCCTGCCCAGCGTTATCCCAGTGCTGCTCCCATGTATGCCACACTTGAGGATGCTCTGATCTGAGCAGGGGCTGTCACTGATGATGATGCTGCTGATGTCAGGGGAGCATGACCTTGCAGAAGGTGTTGCAGTGGGGCATTAAGATACAGCCATCACCAGCAGAACCAGGTCAGACACCCCAGGGGGGTTGAGTTCCCATGGACAGACCCCTAAACCAAGGAGGACTGCCTGAAGGAACCCCAAGAAACCACCCAGCCATCACCCTGCCCTAGGGAAGGTGCAGGTCTACCCAAAATCTTCCCAACAGACGCTAACGATGCAGCTAGTGGGAAGGGTATGAGGTCTGGTTTTGGTCTGCTGAGCTGTGGTGGTTCTAGCTTTCCAGCTAGTAGTGAGGAAGTGAAAGGTCTGGTCCCTCACATGTTAGAGACACAGAGCTTGTTTGTAAGACTTTCCGCTTATGAGAAGTTACAACCACATCTGAGAAGGCTTGCCGGGCTCCCTTCCTCCCTCCCTCCCTGCCACCCCTCTCCTGTGGGGACAGATATTCCCTCTGTGAGCACAGCCCTGGCATCAAGATGTTCTGGTTCTCCAGAGATGAGGTCTCACCTCTCCTTTCAGCATGTACCGAGGGAAAAAGAAATAAGGGATAGACGTGAGCACCAAGCAGCCCGAGGAGATCAGCAGTCCTAGCCACCAGGCTCCAATCCACCTCTGGTCCCTCGGTGTCAGGGCCACTGTAGCTGCAAGACACAAGGACCCATCGTAAGAGCTCTGCTCCTGCATGTCTAAGGGTGAAAGGGGCAAACATCCATGGAAATACAGAGTGGTGGAGCACAAAGGGTCCATGTGGGCACAGTCTAAGGGTCTCTCCACTGGTGTGGAAGAGAAAATGGATGGAGGCAGGAGCTCCCACCAGTGTTAGGAGTCCCTTCCCCTGGCCAGGATCCTGCTCCTCATCCAAATGGCGCCGAGCCTCCCAAATGACCATAGATTGAGTCAGCATCGAAGTATGCTGATGGCACAGGTTCAACTCTTCTCCACTGAGCCAGCCAGTGAGGCAGGGGCCTGACTCCATCCTCCTCTGCCTGGGGCATGCAGTGGGTTTGGACCACGCTGCCTGCAAGGGATGCTGAGCTGAGACAGGGACTGGGCAAAGGGCAAAACCACCTTCCCGGAAAAAACTGCTCTCCCATTGTTCTAGGCTTGGTCACTCTCTGTTTGCAGGGGGAGGACCCGTGTCGGCAGAAGAGCGCTGTTAATGAGCCTGGTTTCCGAGTGGATGAAACTCTGGGCGCCTTCTCCGGAAAAAGGAGGAGAAGGTGAGAGCCGCTCCGTCTCCAGCACAAACATCCTTCAACCGGGCCAAGCGATGCTCACGGGAGGTTGACAGATTGCTTGGCTTGGCATGGGGACCACATCTCCCCACCACCAGGATGTTTCAACTGGGAAAGGATCCAGCAGCAACCTCCGGGTGGGAGCCCTGTGCCAGGGTGCGGCAGGAGAGGAGCCCACGCCCCACCAAAACAATTGCCCCGCTTCCCCAAACAGGACCACTCCACTCTGGAGCTCGGACGTCATCATGGAGCGACTGGGCAGAGGTTGCTAAATCCATCTGCTGCCGCAGGGAGTGAGCCAAAGCCTTTTGTCGTTTCCTGCCCCAGGTTCATTTATTATTCTTATCAGGCACTGGACAAAAATGTCAGGCGAGCTCTGATCTCTCTAAGGAAACACAGGAAAAGCCACATTAATGATGGAGCAGGGGAGAATTCTTTAGTGATTAAGTTACCAGAAATAATAAGCACACCACAGATAAAGACAATAAACCCTGCAGTGGCATTGGCTTGGTCCTTCTCTCTGCTGATGCTGGTAAAGGGTGGTGGGGAGGAGGATGAGCAGACTCAAGCACCCACAGGGCAATGGTTGCCCTGTGGTTGTCTTCTCTATCTCTGGCTGCTCCTCTCCACCACCGTGCAGGTGTAGTGTGATACTACCTGGGCATGGTGACAGTGGGCAGACCCCAGCAAAGACCATCAGGGAAACACAATGAATAGGACATTGGAATGTCCTCAGGTCTCTGCTTCATTGCTGGCTTTGGGACCATCTGTGGCCTTCCTCATGGGGAGATGCAGTGGAGAAGGTGCACTGGGGGTGCTGTTCCAGGTCAGGTCTTTACAGGTGAGTGGGTTTTGTGGGTCATGGGACTGGTGGCTTCCACCATCAGTCATCTCAGAGTGACCTTCTGATTCACAAAAGGCTTTTAGGAGGGCTTGAGAAATACTCACCAATGTCAACTCTTCCAATATCCACAAAAAGACGCAGCACCACAGATCCCAGCAAGTATCCAAAAGCAGGACCGAACACAGCAATGGCAAAGAGGATGGCTGAAAAAAAGAAGCAGAGGGAGCCAGTGTGAGTAGGGAACAGTAGCTTCACTGCAGATACTTCACTTTTGTCTTCCCATGGGTGGCAGGAATGATGTTACAACATGCAGAGGAGAGAAATCCTCTTTTATCAAACAGCAGATTATGAGAATCACAGACTGGTTTGGGTTGGAAGGGACCTTAAAGCCCATCCAGTTCCAACCCCCCTGCCATCAGCAGGGACACCTTCCACTAGACCAGGTTGCTCAAAGCCTCATCCAACCTGGCCTTCAACACTTCCAGGGAGGAGCAGCCACAGCTTCTCTGGGCAGCCTGGGCCAGTGTCTCACCACCCTCACAGCAAACAATTTCTTCCTTCTAAGTTCCCCATTGCTCAGATACTGAACGTGGTGTTTATCCATCAGGACTAGGAGGAGGGCAGGCAGCTTCCTGCAGAAAAAGTCCCTCTGCTCTGCTAGGATCAAGGCTTTGCTGATGCACTAAATATTGTCAGCTACATGGTGAATATCTGTGATTTGCTGTGACAAAGGGAGAAACTCAGAGAGAGCAGCAGGATGGTGGCATCCTGGGCTCCCTCTGATGACAGAGACCTTAATCTCCTACAGGAGGCCAAGGAGACAAACCCATCTCCATCCTTAGGTCCAAGCAAAAATATTTGGTGCTATGTTGGGTTTGTGTGTGTGGGGGAAGCCTTTTTTTTTTTTTTTTTTGTTTGGTATTGGGGGAAAGGCCACCTTGTGATAAGCTTCAAGAGCTCCCTGTGCTCCAGAAGTGGACACCCCTCTCCAGCCCAGACTGGGCCAATGAGCACTAGCGAAACACATCTTCGAATCCATATTTGTGAGGGGAAGGACTGTCCTGAAAAGAAGAAGGTGGGGGGTGAACCTGGAGGAGAGGCCATTGACAAATAAAAGGATGACCATCAGCCTAAAACAAAGAGAGACAACAGAGAGAGAGGTTCGTTGCCAGAAAGAAGGTCAAAGATCCACACACCCAATTCAACCCCATGGAGTAGGAGAAGACAAGAGGAGGTCCTCAGGCAGCCCAAGGAGATTCAACAGCGGAGCAGAGACCCATGT